CATAAATAATAAAAGGAGCTGAAATATATAGATTTTACACAATTCCAACCACTCGTAAAAGTCTGTATATAAAACTGGTTAGGAACTGGGCCATTCTTTCCCCTTCAACTTTGTATAAAAAGCACAATACAGCACCTCTCCCTATTCTGTGGGTACTTCCAGCACCGCTTGTTCGACAAAACTGTGACTGTGTTCAAGTGTTATAAAGCATTACTTGTGGATTTCTGAAGTACATCCCGTTATCAATAATGAAAGGAAACCAACATCATTTCAAATAAAAACTTAAATACGGAAGCTGCAGCACGGAGAGCCCATACCATGGCCCAGACTCTGATATCCCCTTTAATTTTCCAAAAGCCAGAGGTTTGGAATATGCTGTGAAGTAACTCCAAATTATTTAGGAAATTCATTTCTTTGTAATTAAGGAGATTAAAGTCCCCCAGGGCCAGAAACCACGTGACAACTCAAATCATTTTCCCCCAGTAAAAGCTGAGGGACCCTATCAGTTAAATTCAGGCTCGCCTAGAATTTTGAAATGCTTCAATAATGTTTCTTTGCTCCACACAATCTGCAGTAATTTAATATTCCTGAAGTGTGTCAGGTTTTTTATAATGAGCTCTTCAAATCTAAATGTGAATTATGTAACATTCCACTACAGACGTTCTGTCTAGTGAACTGCTTCTAAATGTAAAATTCCATGTTCATTGGTGGGGGGTGGGGGGTGGGGTGGGTTGCAGTTTGGGGAGGCACGAAAACACCAAACCACGAAGCAGAGAAAACTGAAAGGCCTTTAAAAAACAAAAAAACACAAAACACACACAATCAAGCACAAAGGCAACACAGTAAAACACCTACTATAACACAAATTCGCGCTTTCTCTCCCCCCACCCACCCAGCTCATATGATCCTACAGCAGAATAGCTAACGTTTATGAGGGCCCACTATTTGCCGGTACTATGCTATGAACTTCCTTTACTGAATCTTTCAACCACTTGAAGAGTTAGATATTATTTTTTGAAGTTTTAATGTTTTATTTATTTTTTAGAGAGAGAGAGAGTAGGGGAAGGACAGAGAGAGAGAGAGAGAGAGAGACAGACAGACAGACAGACAGACAGACACAGTATCCGAAGCAGCCTCCAGGCTCTGAGCTGTCAGCACAGAGCCTGATGCAGGGCTCAAACTCACAAACCGTGAGATCGTGCCCTGAGCCGAAGTCAGACACTTACCTGAGCTACCCAGGTGCCCCAAGAGTTAGATACTATTATTAATTTTCATTTAACAAATAAAGAAAAGCAGAAGCCAGTTTAGTAGCTTGTCCATGGTCACATGGCTATTAAGGGGCACAGCACAGGGCAGGGTATAAACTACTCTTTTTCTCCCTTCATTCAGAATACTCCTAGATGCCCATCAGCTGGTGAGAGGATGTAACAAAATGTGGAATATCCATACAAAGGAGTACTAGTTCAGCCATTTAAAGGAATGAGGTACTGATACATACTACAACACAGATGAACCTTGAAAATATCATGCCAAGTAAAAGAAAACACAAAAGTTCACATTGTTTGATTCCATTTATATGAACTATGCAAAATAGATACATCCAGAGATGGAAAGCGGATCTGTACTTGCCAAGCACTGAGGGAAGCAGGGAAAGAGAAGCACATGCTTCGTGGGTACAGGGTCTCCTTTGGGGGTGATAAGAAGGTTTTGGAACAAGATAGAGGTGGTGGCTGCACAACACCATAAATGTAATAAATACCACTGAATTGTACATGTTAAAATGTTTAATTTTATTTTATGTGAATTTCCCCCAAATCAAACAAGACCAAAACAAAATAACCTCCAAGCCAGGTCCCACAACCAGATGGAAGCCTTTGTGATATGCTAAGAACCCTGCAAATTTCAGTCTATAAGGATAACCCAGGGGCGCCTGGGTGGCTCAGTCAGTTAGGCGTCTGACTTTTGATCTCAGCTCAGGTCACGATCTC